AAAGCAACCCCATGACTAATACATTCACTATGTGAAGGAGCAATGGCTTAGTGGATCTCCTATTTCATAGGCAAAAATGCAGAGATTGCCTCTTTTGTCAGTTCATAGATAAAATCCTATTCTTTGTAATCCCTGAAGAAACAAATCAAATAAGCTCTGGCTGAGCTAACCATTTTCAATCCATCAAAGCAATCAAATTCTGTTTACCTGAATCAGAATGATTTCTAAAATGTTATTAAAAAGTAAAATGGAGTTTAACTATTCCAAAAAACTGAAAATGATGTGCAAACACAAAAGGGATAAGATTTCAGTAATTATGTAGACACAAAGTCGGTGCCATCATTTGTACCACAATACAATGTAGCTATGGCATATAAAGATAAAGCTTCCTTTGTCTAACATTACTGCTGCAAGTGATGCATAAACATAATTAATGTAAGAAGTCTTCAAAGGGGCGAATATTCATTTAGTCAGTTAGTTTTATTGCTCTTTCAGGCAAACAAAAGTTTTATAATTTAATAAACCAATTAACTGATTATATATTTCACCCAAAATATTTGTATATCACACATTACTATCATTTCACCAATTGCCATGGTTTTTCACACAATAGAGCCAGCGTGTGGTGCTACAGTTAAAGCATTGCATTAAATGTTCATTTGCTTTGCCCATTATTCTGGAATGAACGCCATGAGGCTTCTGCCAAACTAGATTACCCAAATTCAGCATCAGGGTTTGTCCAAACCCTATGCTGTAGTACCTCCAAATTAAAATCATTATGTTGGTCCTGTCATGATCCTTGAACTGATCTACATGAAAAATAGTTTTTTGTTTGGCTTATATTTCATATATTCATTTAGGAGAGCTCATAGTTAGATTTTGCCTTCAGTCTACAATTCAAAAATAGCTTTGCTTCTTTAGTTGCTGTGGTCTAATAGAGACTGTGACATCTGCCATTGTACTTCTGTGCTCTGTCAAAATACAGTCCTAAATTTGTCAAAGCTAGGACACAAAAATTATGTCCTTGTTCAGTGTGGAATAAAACCTCATCTGATAGTTATTTCATTGCATAATGAGAGGCAGCATATGCCAGTGGTTAGCATGAGACTGAAAGTGGGAACTCAGCCATCTGTTTCCAGCAAAAACAGTGCCTGCATGTTGCTGCAAAAATTTTGTCTCTCTGGTGCCTCAGTTTCTCAAGCAAAATTATGAATAAATTGTTCTTAAATTGTGAGAGCCATTCCTTCTGCTCTGACATGGCCAGCAAGGAGCAGAAAGGGCTTGTGCACTAAACTGTGTTCAGCCAAAGCAGATTCTGTCTCCTGGTACAGCCCCACCCTCAGCTCCATGGAATGCTGGGGCCATGGATGACCATCCATGGAAGTACAGTGGGCAAAATATTCAGGCAGTGAAACCGTCCTAGAGGTAATAATTTAACCCCTCCTTTTGGGCTCTGAAAATCACAAGCGAGTTTTAGTTCAGAAACTTCTATTTTATGAAGAAATACAATTCCTAGAAACTTTGGAATCTGCAGTGCCTCCCTAGGCCCTCCCTGCACGAGTCAAAACCCATCAGTGCCTCTGTTTCTTCTCAAACCTTCATTGTGCTTCAGTATGTCTGGAGGAACCAAGAGGCACTTAGTCCAGCTGCACATTATTTTCAATCCCTTTCTTTCTCTGTATGTGTGTGTGTTGTTTTTTAAAGAAAAAAAATTACTATTTCTGAAATTATTGGCAGTAAGAGCACAAAATTATTGTATCCACAAAAAAATAACCCCCCCAAAAACATACAAAACCCCCCCACACAACTCTTGATACTTTGTCTTTGTAGATGGTAGTTTAACTTTCACATTTTGCTTTCCCATGAAGCAGGTTGCTCAGCTGCATTGATAAATTTGAAGTAATGAGGAATACACCAAAAATGTGCAGTGCTGTCCCTCTCATATACACATGCACAACCACACACACACACAAAATACTCAGAACATTAAAGAAAGCTGTTAAGCTAATCTGGTGCATCTAAATGGCCAATATATATTGAATCCATGCTCCATTGATCATAATTATTGCGGTGCCCTTTATCAAGTAACCATCTTAAACCATTATTTAGAGATCATTTTGCTTTCCATTACTGTCACTATATTGCAGAATTTGCTAGGAATTGGTGGCTGTGTGATAGAGGGGTGTGCAGTTGTATTAGCCTGGAATCTGCTCCTGTTATCCAACAATGTTTCTAAAATGAGAGACTTAGTGCCATGTTCACACAACTTTTGGGCAGCCTTTAACTTCTTTCTGGAGTGACAAGTCACTCACATAAGCTTTGTTTGCCACATAACTCCTTCCTACCTTGAATTCTTTGCATATTTGCCTTAAAATTAATTTGTATTTTTTATGAAAGTACAGCCTGTGTGTATTGAAAAGCATTTCTTAAGGTGTAACCAAGAGTTGCTAAATGGCTGCACTACTGCTCTGTGTGTTGGAAATGATTTATGAACCTCCACGATATCATTATTACTCTTTAGGTTATGTGAAAGAAGGAAAGAGCAGTATTTTATTCTCAGCTGGCCCTCTCAAACTATGCATCACACAAACAGTAACATAATTGCAGGAAACTCAGTCTAGGAACATCTGAAGCTAAATTCAAAGTGCAGTATTTTCACAAGTACTCAGAAAACACCTGGCTTGTTTGCCTTGTAAGAAGATTAGAGAACAAAGTGAGAAAGAGGAAAACATGGTTCTTAATGAGACCAGCATCATTTTAGACTGAATCCCTATCCCAAGCCTCTCAAAGTAATGCACCTGGCATGTGCTGCATGCTGTGATATTAATAGATGTATCAGGAACACAGGTGTTTAAGCTGATATTTGCCAGTTTAACCAGGTGGTAAGGAGATTTTAATGTCTCACAAAAGTAAGAGGATGGAAAAACAGAAGTTGCAGACACTCATCATCAGTGATAGACTATGAAATGGTACTAAACATGTTGGATATAACTAAATCAGCATTAATCTTACGACTTACAGCGAGGTGCACAGCATATTAAGAGATCAGTTCAACTCTTGATCAGAGTTTGTCCCAGGCCTTAACAGTGAAGTGTGGGAGTCCTTATGAGCAGCCTGGATGCTCAGGAGCCCTGTGTATATCACAACCCAAGTGACCTCTGGAAAAAAACATCTAATCTTTCAAAGTTTTTTTTTTCCCCTATCTGTAAAATGAAGATAATAACCCTTCCTAATCTCAGGACTTGTGAGACTATAATTGATTATTAGCATTTGCATAATCATTTTGAGCTCCAGAGGATGCATATGCAGTGCATATGTAATGTAACAGGTAAACATCCTGCTCAGCCATGGGGACAGTCATCAAATCTTATCTCACTGGGGCTTAAGGTCAAAGGCAGAGAGAAGGTTCCTGAACCTGATAAGGGCTTAAGTGTTACAGGAGAACTACTTATGTTCTGAAGAACTCACCTCTATCACTTTCTTCTTGCCTCTAATCTGCTCTGAGATGCTGTGTCTGCTACTATCAAGCTATGATCTCTCTCTTTCTCATGCCTGAGGAAGAGCATATTGACTAAACTGGGTAGGCAAGCCAAAGGAGAAAATGTTTTTTGTCCTCACAGACAACAGCAGCTCTGAGTTTGCTCACTTCTTGTCTCTGTCAAATCTCTTCCAGCCTCTTTAGCCCATAAAATGCCTTGGTGGAGGAAAGTGAAGCAATGAAATGAATTTGACTGACCAAACTCTAATATTGCTCAGAGAGCAGGTAAGCTGTTTCAGTGTTCAGACCACCCACAGATATAGGTGCAAAACCAAATTTCTGATATAATTTCAAAGTTTTGTTGCTCTGCAGATACCCTGGATGTACATTACAATTACACAGTAGAGTAATGACATAACTGTGAGCAAGACAAAGAAACTTCTGCTTGTGCAAGGTTTTAACAGGTATTTGGGTGCTAACACAGGTATTTGCAGTATGGGATGCTCTACAACTGACATCTTGAGATCTGAAATATTTTTCCAATTGCTCTGGCTGTGGAAGTCAGTAGAGCAGCCCCTAAGGACCTATGAAGGAGAAACTGGGAGGTCTGGAATCAGGTGAGATTGATGGTTTGAACCAAGTAGAACAGAGTTCATGTCAATTCAGGTCTCACATACATTTGGTCACTGCCTTCCTGTGCTTTGTTTTTAACTCCATCTGAAACTGCAGTGTCTATGAATATTTCTCAGCTGCAGCAGGCTGGGAATTACCACCCACTCATTGTGACTACACAGAAGAATGGGAATTTGGACCATTTGAACCTGTGTGAGATGTAGCAGAACAGAGCTCACTGCACCCTGAACAAGGCTAAAGGCCAGTGTCCACAGACACAGAAGAGCAGCTTTGATGGACCATTTCTCTCCCCTGTTACACTGCCCAGCGTGCAGAGCTTTTAACAGGACTTTGCATTTGTTGTGCCTTCCACAGTAATTCCTCCACTGTGTCTGCAGCACCTCTGTGTCTTTAGAGCAAAATAAATCTTTGCCGTGCATGTAAGTATGACTTCGCTCCAGATGGGGCATGAGTTACCATCAATAACTTTCTCCTGAAAATGTGGCTGACAGAAAATGATTCAGAGAGATGTTTTGCTCAAACATTCATTTTTCTCCACCATAGTGGTGATCAGGAGTGTCAGGATAATTAGTCAGGAAAGAGCATTAATTAATATAAGGAGTCCTGTGAGGGAGTGTGCCTCGTTATGCAACCTAGTGCTACATGCAACAATTTGTACCTCCCTAGGTTAGGCTAAGCCCTGCTCATTTCCATTTTCAATATTACATATTGAGGTTACCAGTTTTGCAGTTCAAAACCTTTCTAGTTAATTTGAACTTAATTGTCTTTAACAGTGTCAAATATGTTTGCCTTTCTTCTTCCATCCTTTAGAAAGGGAGTGTCCTTGAAAATATCAAGGAGACAGAAAATGCAAAAATGGCTCTGCCCTGCTGGGAATCTGCTGCTGTACTTGTGGGTTCTTTACCAACTCAAGGCATTCCAGTATACTCTGTAAGCTGATTTGAAAGCAAAACTGTTCTGTCCTTGCAAGTATTGCCAATTTTAAGCAGTCTTTGGAGGTCTTACTCATTGTCACACCCAGGTACCCTATGTCTATAAAAGCATCACACCTCTAAACATAAAATATAAACTTGTTTGTGAACAAACAACTCAACTTCTTTACCCTACAAGAACTAGAAAAATCAAAGCATTTATGCAGCAGGGTGGAGGGAATCTGAAGGACAATCATGTTAACCTTGCAAATAGGACTCAAAAAGTACCTTGGGTGCTAAGCAGCCAATTTTGACTGTGTTTCCTTAAACTTCCTTGGGGTTAAAAATAAAATTCAAATTAAGGTTTTTATTCTGCCCCAAGATTGGTGTTTGCAGATTGCTGCTTATCAGGTTACATCAGCTCGTGCTTTGCCACGCCACACAGCAGATCCTACAAGGTGTAGTGTTGATGGATGGGAACAGCCCCTTGAGGCTCAGCTCATGTGAGTCATTAAAGAAAGATTTATTTCTCCTTCACTTAACAAAGGAGGCTTCCCACATGTGATTTTAAAAGTGTTTACATTGAATGTATTGACTAAGTTTGATTAAGTAATTGGAGTTGCATAATTAATACCATTAAGAAAGATTAATGATTTCTTGAACAGATTAAAAAAATTATGTCTTCTGAAATAAAGTTACATACGCAAATTAAAAATGGAAGAATGCAGTCACTATCACAGGTAAAGCAAAGTAAAAAACCCAGAGTGACTGTATACTTCAGAGCAAATACATAGCTTGTATTTTTAAATTTTTCTCCAAAGCTAAGCTGTTTCTTCTTGTCAAAGTATAAGTCAATTATACTGTAGCACAAAAAGAAATCTGCAGTATTTTACTGTCATTGTTGGTAATTTGTCCCTTAGGGTGTTAGTATTCCTACATAATTGCATATTGTCTCTCCCTGTAACATTTTCTACTTTCTTTCTCTGTTAGAACAACATAAGAATTATTGCATCCATGGGTTTTAGCAAATTATCCAGCTAACTTGATTTACATTCTATTCACAAACAGAATTACAGAAGGGAAAAATAAATTGGCTTTGTTTTTCTCCTTAGCTATCGTTTGGCCCCGAACAATTAGAGTTTGTTGGGTTTTTTTGGTTATTTTGGTTTTTTGATTTTTTTTTACTTTGTGTGAGTTTTCTTTAAAAGTATAAAGAATGCAACTGTCTGCAGACCATATCTGATAGCAATATTATCATTTAAAATTGTGTTCCCCTATTTTTGTTTCTAAATACTGGAGATGGCAGTACCGTGAGAAATTCCCATCCTCTTAAATAGGGATGCCCTGGTGAATGTGCTGTCCTAAGCTTTGGGAGATTTCTCATCTGAACAGACTTCAAGATGGATGGAGCAGTGACAAGTGCCTGCCTTCAGGGATGCTGGATTATAATTTAGGGGCCTGCTTGGTTCTCAGAGTCTCCAGACTCTGCAGTCACCAGTCACCAATAAAGCAATTCTTTTAGTGAAATCCTCTGAGGATACTTAGATTATCCAGGATTGTAAACATGCAGGTTAATGGTGAAAACCTGAAGAAGGACCTTATCAACTCCTTGAGTGATAAGGCAAGAGAACTGACATTGAAATTTGATGTCGGTAAAGGCATTGTGATGAAAATGGAAAAACACTTAATTGTGCACGCATTGAAATGAAGTCATGTTTGTCTTTAAGCATGAGGAGCAGCGTTAGGGTTAGAGTGAGCAGTTTTGCAGAAAAATCAGCTCAAAGCCAGACCCCAGTCAAAACAATTAACTGGTTACTATAAGGAAATAAATAGAGAACCACATAGGAAATATTCCCCTTTGTGGATTCAGGATGTACACAACAGCATGTGTGGACCTGGAGAAGGCCTGAAAATGGTGACACAAACACAACCTTTCAGTGATTTCCATTTGAATTTCCATTTGAATGGATGCTGAGCTCAGCCTGGAGAGGCTCCTCTGGTGTGTGACCTCTGTGGCCAAACAGTGGTGACCTTGTCAGGTCTGCCTGAGCTGCAAACCTGGAAAGCTCAGGCAGCAGAGATTTGTGTGTGAACACAAACTGCAGAGCAAGTGGAGACCCATTTGGCACCCTTGTTGCTGCTGAACTGACAGGCAGGAAAAAGAGGAGCCTGGCTGTAATTAACAAAGCAGCTTAACTACTAATACCTTGGTAATGTCCCTCGTATTGTAGATGAAAGGCTCAATTGGTAATTTGAAATGAGAACAAACACACTGAAAGGATGGTGGCTGTGAGGAAAAGGAGTACATGAAAACAGTAATTTATCCAAAACAGCAAGTTTTTTGGATGTGCTTACAGGGTCTCCTGTGGATGCTGTAATCTGCTTTTGCAACTGCTTTTCACAGCCTAAAGCAGGTGAACTGAAGTTTTGTGCAAGTCTTGCTCAGGAGCTCCCAGAGCAGTTCAGATAGGATTTTATCATTATGGAAGCACCACAAAAAAAAAAAAAAAAAAAAAAAAAAAAAGAACCCACAAAAAAAAAACCAACCAACCAAACAAAAACCCAAAAAACCACAGGCACACAAAAACCAACCAACAACCAACCAACCAAAATGCTCTTTGAAGGGTTTTTAGAGTATATATCTGCATCAATCAGAAAAATTAATAAGAATGCAATTCTTGTCTGGTAAATTTAAAAAAAATAGCACATTTTCAGCAGGTAGTTGTACTGGGGAAAAATGCTTTTGCCAAACAGAAACCTTAAAAAACTCTAAGCAGGAAATAGGTTTCTTAAGACACAGAGGCTTCCATACGGAGTCATGTTGCTTTACAGCCTTGAAATTGTATAGTATTGATATTTTAGACCTCACTACCTCTTACTGCACCATATTGCTGGTGCTATCATTGTAAAGTAGAAAAACAGGATGAGGAGATGAACCAGCAGAATTAAACACAAAAGGTGTGCGATCCCTTAGGAAGACCCCTCATTTCCCAGTGGACCTGACACTCCAGGATCCCAGTGCATCCCACAGTGATTCAAAAATCCCAGGCTGTGTCCTCACCCTGTTGCTTTGGCTGCTTGCACTGAACCTTTCTTAACAGGGCCTGGCACTGGGCAGCAAATGTACTGACACATCCCTGGGATCTTGGTGAGTGAGGTGGAGCAAAGCTGGTGACATGACCCATTTCCATTTTCTGTTTGGTTGTCATCCTTTGAACATGAGAACACTGGGGAATTCCCTTTACAAAAAATTGCTTTATTGAGAAAAAGAAATGTTTTCATGTGGCACTGGTGTAACTCCCTGGGGGAAATACATCAATCTTCTAATAACTCTAACAGTGCAGTAAGTGTGAATCCCTCCTCATGGCTGGCACAGCTCTATCATAGTTATCATAGGTAAACCAGAGAAATGTTTCCTGAGGTAGAAAAGCAGTGAGTCTGAATCTGACAGGTAATTCCTTCCCAGGTATCAATCCAGAAATTATTTGTTAACAAGATTTTTTTTTTTTCCATTTTGAAATCCAGGTGATGAATTTTCCAGCATTCCAATTCTGTCTGCCAGAGTTCCTACTCTCGTGGCTTAGTGGCTCTTTGTATTCATTGCCCATACAGCATGGGCTATGTTTGCTTAGCTCTCTTCCTCCTCTTCCATTTCTCATGAATAACAAAACCACAGGAATAGGCTGAATGTCTCTGGAATCATTCAGGTAGCACATGAACTTTGAGTGTTGACTTTTTCACCCTCACAGGCATTGTCCATTTACTTTCTTCTTATATCCTTGCTCTAATTTGTACAAAGCTATTTGTGATTAGCTGGCATTTACAACCAGGTATTGATTTTTTTATTAATTTATAAACAGTTCAAACAAACAGTGGTAGTCAATTCTAGGAATAATCCCCCAGGAGGTTAGGAAAGATACAGACAAGTGCACAATCTAAAGGCACTGCACAGTGCATTAATGGGGTAAGATTTCAGATGTCTGTGTATACATTCACAGTATCCCTTTGAAGCTGGCAAATACAAATGTTAAGGGAATATTTTTGGCAAAATATTTTCAGCATTTTAAGTGATTCCATTTCATATTAAAAGCAGCATGGCTATAAAGATGTGCTGGCAGCTGATGAGGGATTCCCTCTGAACTCAGGGATTTTTGAGGAAAAGGAGGCCTGTGTTAATCACACTGAACACCAAATGCCAGAGGCAGAAACAGAACGGGTGTCTAAGCTCAGAAGAAAGGAAGGTGCCAGCTGGGGGTACCCCGGGTTTTTGAAGGCTGTTCAGGGCAGGATGGAGCACAAACCAGTCCAGTGTCACAGGAGTGGAGCTACTGATCTGTGGGATACACACAGTGTGTGGCTGGGCAGGATGCAGTAATTAAAATATTTACATGTAAAAGGCTCTTTCTATAAAAACTCTAGAGATATGATGAGATTTCTTTCTCTACGTGTCGAATTTCTCTTCTTTTGCGTGTATTGATAAGTATTCCCCAGAGTATGTCTGCTGGGACAAGTGTTTTCCAGCAGAGCTAAACTTACTGAAATGGGTGGTTTGATTACATGAATGTTTCAGAGGAGAAATATTTCATTTTCCTCAAAAATGCCCACATCTATATTTGAATAGCAGTAAGTGTTTCAGTGGTGTGTTAGGCTGAGTGCTCTTGGAATTGTAGGAATATTTTACTAGAAATTAGGACCATTCCATGCCTCACTAAAAAACAGACTGCACAGGGGATCCTTCTGAATCCATAGATTCTGAATCCACAGATTCCAGCTGGCTGTGAAAATAAAGTACCTTGTTATTCATGGCCTCTGCCTACTGCCCTCTCCTGAAGGCTTGACAAATTAGGTAAATTGATAAAAAGTAGCAGTGTCTTGTGCAATGAAATGTCCTGTGAATAAAGGAGCAGAATGCTTGCAAATGATTGTGAGGATCATCTGAATTAAATAAAACCACCATCAGATAGTCTTCAGTGATGTGTTAGGGAATGTTATTAGTCAGAGTCCAGCAGTCGTGTGGTATTTAGCATCCTCTGGCATTTCAGTGACCTTTTATAAGGCAGATTGCATGGAACAATTAATTTATTTCATGACCATCCCATTGTATCCAAGATAAAAAATGTTAGTCAAACCCAGGTGTCCGGATCAGAGCCACGTATTGCATTTCAAAACCCATTGAGTGGAAGCTAATTTCAGCAATTTGCATGAGAGCCTTTTGCTATCACTTCTACCATAGTATCAGTGTCAGCTCAATTTTCAGAGCAGCTGTAGCTCAAACACTGACCTGCTGCCTATTACAGTAGTGTAATGAAGTGCAATAGACTCGTAATTATTCTACATTACTGTAGATCAAGTAACATGCAGCTTTCAGTTATCACAATGGAATCCCAGTTCTTGCTCAAAATGAGAAAACTGACCATGAAGTTGATTTAAGGGTGTCATCAAATATTACTTTCAGAGCCTGCAAATGTACTACTTATTTCCCAGATAGCATCTGACATTGCTGTGCAAATGTCCCAGAGTCACTGCATACTTGAATAAACTAGTTTCAAATAACTAAGTGAGGAGTTCTATCTGAGAGGCAGGAGTAAATTGAGATGGGATGTTCTTAAAATTTCTGGTAATGCAATTGCATTAGGTAAATTATTTCAATGTCTCCTTTCTAGCACCGTCTGTGAAACAGCCAAACAACTTATTCGTGAAATCACAGGGATTCTTTTTCTTTCTATTGCTGCATATGAAATATTGAGCATTATGAATTTAACTTAAAAACATGGCAAATCACTCCGTGCCTGCCTGTACAATCATGACCTCAGCCTGCCCAGGTGGTATTTCTTCCAAAGAATGAGCCATGGTTGCCATAATCTCTATATTCAATCTATTCCTTCCCCAACCCTCTTGCTAGCACCACCTCAAAACCTTCTTTTAGCCCTGTCTTTTGGAGGGTGAGAACCTTGGAGGCAGCTCACAACACAACAACATGGAATACTGTGTGGGACAAGCAGGAGGACAAGGGCTTCACAATAGTCAGGTTTTGTCACCCAGTACTGACACATTGCTTGGATTGAAAGGATGACAGAGCTCCTCATAAGTAATTTGCATTTTTCTGTGTAGGCAACAGGCAGGAAGTGTTTGGAAGTGGGCTGTTCACTTTTTATTTTCCAATTTCTTGCTTAGCTATTACAACTATTACCAGTAGTTGCTTAGGAAGTTGTGTTGCTGCAGATAGAGGTAATTATTTCTATTTTTTAAAAAAAAATTCAGAAAAATCTCTTGGCACATCACCTTCAGTATCTGGCATGAAATTTTAGCTCTTCCCTGCCAGAGGTAGCAGGATATTGAAATATATGGAACATGCAGACTGGAAAGTTTAACTGTCAAAAGTAGTCCATTGTGTCAGGAGTAAAATCAAATTAAGTTATAAAAAGGTAAAATAATCCCTGCAGAGCAATATTTTAGGATCTGGTGGTTTGTTTGGGATTTTTTTTTTCCTAGAG